GTTGAATCAAATTGTGAATGCTTCCTCCTCACAAATCTGTTGGGAGGACCAGAATGTGCGGGTGTGTGCTTGGACCCTTTCATAATCTAACTAGCTCACTCTTAAGCAGTTCTATTTTTCTGCAGATAAGTGAAGCTCTTAGAAGCAAAAATATATTTTGTTATTTGTGCTTTACAGATGGAATAATTTAGCGAGGAGTGAAGCAGGCTAACAGTTTTTTTGGGCCACGCTGTCTCAGAAATGGAGATGGTGGAGCCATCTATACAGGTTGTTTCTGAGTATGTTTGATACACAAAGCAGTGTGGAAAGAGGGTAAACAAGAAGTGTGTATCATACAGGCTTTGTGGTGTAAAGCTATAACAGTCCTTCTGGTTGAAAATATTGAAATGAAAAATTTTGTTGCTGAGACTTGCATTAATAAACGTTTGTCAAAACCCAGCAAATTAAAGACTGAATAATTTGACTTGCTCTCATCTCCCCTCAAGACCTATTTTTTAAAAAAAACACAACGCAAAAGCCTGCTTTCAGTGTCAGCTGTACGCACGTGCTAAACAACCGTGTTTGAGTAAAATACTGCGGTTTTTACTTACATGCTTAAAAATTAGTGGTCAGCAAGCCAAGGAGTCAGAAGCAGTTGTATAAAAATAGATTGTAGCAGATGTAGACAGTTGGCCTTGTATTCTGTGCTAGAGAAGTCTCAGACATTCTAGACGATAATCGTTGTCTGCAGATTTTACTCTAATCATCCCTAAAATTTACACTACGAATCCAGGAAGTTCAGATTTAAAGTTCAAATAAATCCAAATAAGTTAACATAAGAATACAACTAAAACTTATTTTGCTCTTAAGTGTCATACAGTTATTTAGCATGTGATACTGGGTTGTACTCTCAAATTAAATTTAACTGATAACCTAAATTTTTTCGGGTTAGTACTTTACTGTCCCCTTCCCTTCCCCTTCCTCTTCCAGCACTATCCAGCATACACACACACAGACACACAGTTTTGGTTTTCTTCACTTTCCCTTCTTTCTCCCTACAGTAAATCTGGTATAATACATACTTGGCTTTTAAACGTAAATGTTTAGTACTAGTTATCTTTGCTGCTGCTGTTTTTCAAAGGCTATTTCTGCTTCAGCAGAGGGTGTCTGCTCATGTTCCCGTTCATGTTTTGGCTTTGTGCCCTCTTTAAAATCGTTTGAAGGTATTGTTGCTAGTCACAGTGTTTCTCCCTTTTAGACTCTTTTAACAATTACCTTGCCTCTCGGTGAGCGTTGACCTAGAGTCCATGCATACGAAGCTGGGGCACAGATCTTTAACATGCACAATACAGTTACTTAAAACCAGTATTGGTTGTCCCCACTCCCCTCTCGAGCTGGAGCCCTATGAAGGGGCACAGCGAGGCTCTTGTCCCCCAAAACATGGTGTGGCAAGCCTGGCTCGAGGTCACCTTGGTGCAGTTGTGTCTGCTGTGGAGCACAGTCTTGCTTCTCTTCTTTAATAAAGTGTGCACAAACCCCTGGAAGTGTCTAGACCTTCAAGATGGTGTTACATAAAACTAGTAGTGATCGACAATGTTGGAAGGGCACAAGGCCATATTCAGCTGTGGAGCGGGGCAATGTGCAGTAGACCTGCAGTGTCCAGGGAGAGTGAGGGAACTGGGGAAATCGTGGAGGTTAAACTGGTCCAAGATACACCCCGCAGTTTAGGGCTGAGAAGTGAATTCAGATTGCCAGAAGGCCGGATGGGAGGGAAGAGCCTGAGAGCAGGTTCTCAGGGACCATTTCTGTAATGTCCTATGCAGGACAGAAGTAACTAGTAGTGAGGGGGGGGAGAAAGAAAGGGATAAAAAGAGACAATAACTCAGTGGTTTAATATTCTGCCTGAATTACTGTTTGTGCTAGTATTCCAGCATGTCTAGTGCTGCCTGAGGCACAGGAAGGGCAGATACTTTGGGTTCTTGACTGCAGCTATCAGGCTTTTAGCAACCGTACTGAAGCGTTGCTGCTGACATTCCCATTGCTCAAACCATCTCCTTTGGGTGGAACAAAGAGCAATAAGAGAGGCCCCAAGCCCAAACTTACTGTTTCCTTCAAAGCCTTCCCAGTTCAGCTCACCCACTTCACTCCTCTGATAACTCACTGACTCCTGCTTGCTGCCTGCCAGAAACCTTAAGCTTTACTAGCAAACGGCATCTTCTCTGGGAATGCCTGCACATTAGCTTGATGGATGAGCATCAGTGCTCAGCCTCAGAGGTGGCCCAGTACAAGCAGTGCTGAGCACAGCCCTGCCAGCCTTACTGCTCCCAGCCTGCTACTCTACCTGCCCCAACAAGCCTGGGGAATTTTTTTCTGTCCACAAATGCTCTAGGATGTGTCCCCAGTCAATATACAGAAAAATATGTCTAAAATATTCTGAGACAGCACAGTGGGCTTGCAGCACCCCCCAGGGCTTTCCTTAGGTCCGATCCCACCTCACTACTTCCTATCTCAGCAGATGCAGGCTGGGGTTTTTTTTCAGTGGCTTCCCCCCACCCCCAGCACTTTACAAGTTACTTGCCTGTCTAGTTTCAGGACTAGTTCCACGGAAGCGTGATGCAGAAGGGCACCATGGATCAATAATTTATTTCTCACCTTACAGAAGCCAAACTGAGTCCTAGCTAAGCTTTACATTGGCAGACACTGAATCAGGCCACCAGGAAAAAAAAAATAAAAATCAATGGAGCTGATTCTACAGCCTGATCTCCACCCCCTCCTTCTAAAACAGGGAAGGTGCTTCCGTGCCTGCAAAGTCCCCTGACTGACTCTGGCCGGCTGCTCTCTCCCCTCTGTAATGTTTGCATCAGCTCTGAGATGAGACACCCCAGATAGATTGTGTATTTCTGAACTGCCAGCCCCCACAATCCTGCCCTGATGGCACCTTTTGCCAGGGCTCTGCCAATGCCACCGGGTCCAGCCGCACAGCATCCCACAGGGCAGCCCAGCATCGACCCCTTTCGCAGGCAGGGAGGCTGGGGACAAGAGCTGGGGATGTTCTCAAGGTCACACAAGGTCAGGGCAGCCCTAAAGGGGGCTGGCACCAATCCTGCCCCGCAAGCCTTGCTCACTTTAGCAAGCCAAAACCTAGCTAAATAAATAAGTGCCTCCAGAGGTGCCACGTACCTGCATGACCCAGAGGGATGAAGCAACTTGTCATTTTTTATTCCCAACGGTGCAGCATTCATTCATCACAAAATATGCCACTAGATGGGGCTTTCTGGACAGCAATCCACAGGAGAGAACCGCTTCTGCTTGGTCAGGCTGCTCCTTTCCTAAACCCAAAGGTGAGGGGAGCCCCAAAAGATGCTTCCAGGGCAGCGAGGGTTCTCCTGCGCAGAGCAGGCGGGAGGGAGGCTGCAGAGTAGAGAGCAGGACAGCACCATGCGATGGGGCCAGCTCTTCGTTCCAAGCCCAGCTGGCTCTGAGTTTGCAGCAGTGGGGGCCACCGCCCTGACTTTGCAGCCCCAAATCAGAGGCCGAGCCAGAGCCTTTCCCTGTGGGTGTCCCCGAGGCCAGTGTGGGGTCTCTGGCAGCCCTTGGGAAGCCCTGGGCTGGGGAGGGAGGATGGTTTTGGGGGCTGCTGCCTATGGGGGAGAAAGCAGGGAGGAGGCAGGGCAGGCCATAGCACTTCCCCGCCTCACCCCTGCGCCATCACCCTCCTGCACGCCCTTGGGAGCAGGACATCACGACACCAAAGAATTCATTTTCACCTCCCAGTCCCCAGAAAATTGCTCCTTCTGCTATGTTGATGCAGCTGGGTACCAGTTTGGCCCCGCTCCCTCCCAGTGCTCTTGGGTGAAGTGTGCCTCAGTTTCCCCACTTGAGCCAGCTCTCCCAAACCCTCCCCTGTTTCCAACCTCACCGGCTCCAGCGTGGGTGGAGACAGGAGCAACACATGGAGAAGCTGCATTCGCACCCAGAGCCCTCTTGCAGCCCCGAGGCGCGAGCTGGCTCCCTGTGCCTGCAGAACCCTCACGTCCATCCTCTCCAAAACCTGCCTCTACAACCCCCATAACCAGGCTGGTTTTACCCCCTGGCACTGGCGGCTAGTCCCATGTGTGGGAAATTATCGCCAGGCTGCCAGATTGCTGGAGATGGAGCATGACGAAGCCCAGTGTCATAAAATACAGGCCCAGATGTCCAGGTCGCTGTGCCCAGAAAGGTGTCAGCTGCCTACACACGGTTGCCTGCAAACCTCTGGGTGATGCTCGTAGCGCCCTGAGAGCAGCAGCTCCTTCTGGAGCTCCCTGAGCAATGGAAACCCAGCCAGTTTGCTACTGTTAATTCTGGAAATGACCCCCGACCGTGCCTGCTTTGGTGCAGGAGGGTTCGTCCGGTTTGGCCCAGCACCCCGGGGCTCTGGTACACAGCGAGGGCTCCTGGGCTCTACCCCGGTACAGACTACATAATGCCCATTAGGCAGTAATTAATCTGTGCTCTCCAAAATTCACTGAATACCTTTAAAGGGCCATTGCCACTTCTTTCCATGAAGGTTGCAAGGCAGGCAAGACACCTGCTAGGCGTTTTAAAGCCAGTATCCATCAATGTGGCTATTTATTACATATCTGCCATATCTAAACGAGTCAAAAAAAAATCTTAATCTCTGCTGCAAAATATTCCTGAGGAGCCCCAGGGGCTGGAGCTGCCCGGGATTGCCGAGCGGGCAGGCTGGCAGGCAGGCAGGCAGCAGGAGCCTCCGCTGCTGACTCGCCTATCGAAGCGATGCCTGCGCGTTTCTGTGGGAGCCCCGCCACGAGCGGGGACGGGCTGCGATTTCACCCACACCACCGCCGCTGCTGCCACCATCGTCTCCCGTGACCCTCGGCACCCACCGCCCCGCGCTGCCCACCCCAGCCGGGGAGATGGAGCTGCCCCGGGAGTGATGCTGCTGGCAGGAGCCCATGTGATGCTGGGCTAGTGCCGCTCGCTCCCTCGTCCCTCTCCCCGCTCGCTCGCAGGCTGTCATGGCGACTCCCAATAATGTTACTCCCACCAACTGCAGCTGGTGGCCCATCTCGGCGCTGGAGAACGACGCAGGGAAATCCACGGAGGGGGAGGAAAACCAGGACCCGACAGACCCCGCTCTCAAATCCCAGGACAGACTGGTTTTGTACCACTGGACCCAGTCCTTCAGCTCACAAAAGGTAAAAAAACAATCACTCGGCCGGGTTCCCAGGGAGGAATCACCTCCAGTCCCCAGGGCATCCCCTTCGTGGGGAGAGCGAGGGGCTCGTCCCCAGGGCTGCCGAGGGCAGCAGCCTGTGGCCAGGCAGCTCTTTTGTACCTGCAGTTCTGCATTGTAACAGCATCTGCCTGGGGAGGGAACGGGGGGGGGCTCAGCCAAAGCCTGCTTTTGCTTTGGGATCGTGGCGGGAGCCGCCTTGGCTTTGTGCTCCCTCACAGCCCCACTCTGGCGTGGCCAGGAGCGCAGACAAAGGCTGAGCCGGGCCCCGGGACCACCCTGCCACCGGGAGAGGGGGCGGCAGCCCCCGAGCCAGGCTCCTTCCAGGGAGCGGACCCCAGCACGCAGCAACGATTTACCCCTGACATTGCAGCAGCGCCCTGGAAATCCAATTCCTGGGGTGCCCCAGGGAGAAATCACATTTTCCAGGCAATAGTAAATGCTCATTTTGCAGCACAGCAGCTGTATAGCAAACCCGACCTTCTCCTCCCGGCTCCAAACCCCCCATCATTCCCACACCGTTAATGTTATCTGGGGAACGGGCTATTGAGGGGTGGGGGGAAGACAAAGTTCCCCCAGTCCAAGGGCCCCCTTGAGTGCGGCGGGGAGGCCGGGGGAGGCGGGGGGCAGAGGCGCCCATTCCTACTTGCAGGCACAAAGAAAGGGGAGGATGCCCAATGCAGCAGGGTGGCTGCACATGGTCGGCTTCGCCGCCGCTGGCAGCTGGTGACTAATGAGCTTCTGATCCGCACCGGCGAGGGATGCTCGTGCCCAGCTCTCCCGCCTCACTCTGGCCTTGCTGTTATTTTTTGTCTTGCTCGTTTGGCCGCCGGCAGCGCTTAAGGCACTTCTTGTAGGGGGTTTCCTACAATCGGCCTCACCTTTGCGGGGCTGGGGATGCTGGGGACAGGGCATGCACACCTAGAGCCACCGGGCCACCTGGCACCGCTTCGAGTTTTGCTTTTGAGGTCACTTGCAAGGGAAGAGCGTTTGCTGGAAGGTGGACAAGCACAGGCTGGTGTGATGGACGTCACAGGGCTGGGAGCGGCAGGGGCTACACGGGACCCCCCTGCAGAGGAGTTTTGCTGGGAGCTGGCTGCGGGCAAAGGTTTTCCTGCTCTGCCTCGGCCACTGCTCAGAACCACCCTCCATGGGCACTGGGCTGTTTGTGGGAGGGATCCTGAGCCCCCGCCAGGATCTGGCCCTCCCTGCAAAGAGATTTTTGGAGTTTTACAGCCAGCATTGGATTTTTACACAAGATGCCACACAGCAGCCGTGTCGGTGCTGCAGGGACTGGGTAGGGGGTCCGAGCACATTGTGTCACCCCCAGCTGGGACCCCTCCTTGGGGTGCTGTCAGGGGCTCCCCTTGCCTGCAGGCACTGGGGTTACCCCCTGAGCTGAGCCCTCCTGCCCACGCTGCCTCATGCCCAGCAGCTGCCTCCTGCCAGGCCTTTGGCCTCAGCTTGTTTGAGAGCAGAACAGGGAAGCACGGGGAGTTTGGGGACAGATGCCCTGGGTGATCCTGCCCAGGGTTTATCCATCAGCTGGGAGGAAAAGCCTGAGAGCAAGTTGCAATTGAGGGACCCAGGCTTTTCCTTGTTTGACTTTAAAAGAAAAAATTAATTTGCCAGCCCTATAAATAATTAATGACTAATTCCCCAGAACTCTGAAGTACTCACAGAAATGCTTATATTTGTTAAGTTGTATTTTTAGCTGCTGCTAGTTAGAGGAAAACAAGTGCTTTTCCCTCATTCAGTGGTTCTGTAAGACGTGACTGTTTCATGTCCCCTGAGGTTTGGTTTTTTTGCTCATTTGACATACTTAGTTTATAATGGTCAGGTTTTTATGACCCAGAAGCCTAAAATCCATCCCTGAGTGCATATTTAACACCATCTCAAGCACAGAGCAAAGTAGCAGGATCAGCCCTGAGGGCTGTCCATGGGCGATGCGGATGGTGCCCCAATTTCAGCCCCACTCCTGCCTCCTCCTGCCCCTCCGCACCGCTAGACTCGGCTTTCCCACCCATGAGAGGGGTGGGTGCCACCCCAGCGGTGCTGCTCGCTAGCCTGGCGCTGCGGGAGGGCAGCAGCAGGGGAAGGGGAAGGCAGTGGTTTTGGCACAGGAGGTGCAAAAGCAATGGGTGATGTCCCCAGGCCGGTGGCAGAGTGGAGCAGGAGTGATGCTGTGCAGGGGCTGCTTGAAACCCTCCGTGAAACGGAACCTTTTTCCTGCTCAAAACATGCCCAGCAAAGCCATCTCCCACCCCCGAGCATGGGACATACCTGAGTTAGCATCTGGGCATCCTTCAGCCAGGTGGTAGCACACACTGCATGCAAGGTGTAGTGTTGCTGCAGCCTCTGCTGCTGCTGCTTCCTCCTCTTCCTCTTCCTCAGGTGTGTGCTGGGCTTTGCTGGGACCCACAGCAGCATCACTGATTCCCCCCAGCTGGGGAGCTGCTGCCTCTCTCCGCCTGCTGCCAAGGGATGGGCTTGCAGCCCACCAGGACCCCTGGCCCTTCCACCTGTCACACGGGCCACCAGTGACCAGCGGGAGGATGGTGGTCCACGATACTGCAAAGTTAGGATGGGCTTGGGTGTCCCCCATTTGCTGGGAAGAGAAATCTTTACTTGGCTGCCTGGATTTTGCAGCTGCCCCATGCCAAGAGCTGCTTGGCTCCTTGCAGGACGAGCATGTGTCATGGCACATCACTGTGCTTAAGTGGCAGAGAAGGGCCAGGGATGTGCGATGGGATGGCGGTGGGGCTCTCAGGGCCAGCTCGGTGCATGGGGCTCAGCCATTTCTCCCCGGCCTCTTACCCTAGGTGCGGCTGGTCATTGCGGAGAAGGGGCTGCCCTGCGAGGAGCGGGATGTCAGCATGCCCCTGATGGAGCACAAGGAGCCCTGGTTCATGCGGCTCAACCTGGGGGAGGAGGTGCCCGTCATCATCCACAGGGACAACATCATCAGTGATTACAACCAGATCATCGACTACATGGAGAAGAACTTCACAGGAGGTAAGGGGGGGCTGTGTCTTGGGGGAAACTTGGCTCTAATCCAGATGTTGTTTGCGAAATGCAATGTCCTTTCAAGTTTCTGCTTTACCCCAGAAGAGCAGCAAGCCACCAGCCCTCCTCAAACTTTTACGTTTTCCCATGAAAACAAAGGATTTCCAGCTGAAATCCCCAAATGTCCGTTGGAAGTGCTGCTGGGAGGCGCTGGGGGCAATTGTAGCTGGGTGCCCCCTTTTTCTGCCTTGGAGGTCATGCTCCCAAAGCGGAACATTTCCCCCCATTCCCTTGGTGCGTGGTGGCATCTCACCAGAGCCACAGCTGGGGCATGGCCCATGGGAATACTTCTGAGTTCAGCTACCTTTGTACTTTGGCATTGGGTAATGGTACAAAAAACCCCAGTAAATCCTTATAAGTGGCCCTGCTGAGACAAGGTGCCTTTGAGCTGGGTGCTGCTCCCGTCTCCCCTTCCTCAATGAGCCCTGTGCCACTGGTCATGGGCAGGGGACCCTGCCATCGCTGGTGTTGCTGTGCCTCAGAGAAAACTGCCTCTTTAAAGTAAAACAAAGCCAGCGGGTCTGGGGACCACGGGAGGAGGATGTGACACAAACCCAGAGGAAGGCACAGCCAGGAGAGGGAAGCTTGTATTCTCCCCTGGAGCAGGGCTGCAGTCAGCGGCCAGCTGAGCCCGGTACACCAGGATGCTGAGACGGCGCTCGAAGGCGGCTATTTGCAGGGCTGCTGCGACAAGCAGCCTCTCCCCAGCATCTCACGTCCCTTCGCCCTCATTTCCCCAAAACTGCAGGCTGTCGGGCTGGGACCCTCCACTGAGGAGGCTTCAAAGCTGAGCAGGGAGCTCAGGCTGTGCCATCACGACGTTCGCCCCAGCATCCATCCTCCTTGCAAGAGAGACATCAAAAACATCTCAAAATAGCTCCCAAAGCAAGGGCGTCTTGCCAGCTCAGCTGCTGTCCTCTCCCAGCCCCACCACGGTGGTGCTGCTCGATGGAGGCACAACGCTCACTCGCCGGCGGGGCAGCGGGGATGGGATCGGTCAGGAGGAGCCCACGCTGGCAGCGGCTCCCAGGGAACGGCAGCCACTTTCCTGCCTGGTGGCAGCCGAGGGGCAGCAGGGAGCATCGCTCTGTGGACCCCCCACTCTCCAGCAGCTTCAGCCGGTCTCTGTGAAGGGCAGGTGTTCCGGCATATGTGACAACAGGCTGTCCCCAGTGGGAGGGGGACACAGTGCTGCCCATGCACTGGGAAACTCCTGTCATTGAGATTTTCCAGCCAGGTGCAATTTCTTACCTTTTCACTGAAAAATGGAGAGGGGAAGCTCCAGGGAAGAGGGCCCAGAGCATCACTCCCTGCTGTGTGCTCTGCTCCGAGCCATTGCCCACCAGCGCTAGTTGGCAAAAGCATTATCAGGATGCCATGGCGTTGGTCCGAGGGGGAAACACCCAACTTGCAGAAACCTGCAGAGCTTGAAAATGCCTTTATAAGAAGGTCTATTCACTGAGTTACATTTTCCCCTGGGCTGGGAGCATGGTCTTTTTCAGTTGCTTACACACAAACTGAGGGTCAGCTATCAGTAAAGGGTGGTGTGATGAGCAATGTTTTTCTTTCCCCAAAAAAGCCGTGAATAGTGCCAATAAGGACCTGTGAGGGTGCTTCTCACTAGGGCACCACCCAGCAGTGCCAAGAAACCACTGATGAGTTGGCTGGTGGCAATGCCTCTCAGAGCCTGGGCGAGGGGCTTCTCCAAGGGCTGCACCCCCAGCCCCATCCTTCTGAGCCTCCCCCCATCCCACCTTTGCACAGTCCATCCCTTGCTGAGTATATGCAACAGCAGGCCATATGTGCAGGTCTGCCGTGGCGTGCAAAGGCAGGGCGAGCACCATCCCACCAAAAAACCTCCCTGGGATGTGCTGAAGGACACGGGCTGGTGGCCAGCATGCTGCTATTTCATTGTGGTTGCTCCGTCTCGCTGCTGGACAGGGCAGTCACTCTGGATGTGCTGGTTTCCAGCCTCGGTCCCAGCCTGCCCATCAGGTGCTGGCCAGGAGTCCTATGGAAGGAGCACACAGGCTATAGGTCAGTTATTATTATTTCATTCAGCTGATTGCTTTTTCTCGGGTGGAAAATCCCTGCTTGGAGAGTTGGAGTCCAGGCAGTGGAGGCAGCGAGCAGCCTGCGGGCAGGGAGGAGCTACCAAAACCTCCCCTTGCTCAGGGGACAGTAATGCTGATGCCCATCGGTCAGAGACAGCCCTGAATCAGAGCTGTGAGGACTTTTGCAATACAGGAGCTGCCAAAATTTCCCTGGCTCCTGTCCAGCCGCAGGTGCCGGCAGGCATGATGCTGCCTGGCCCAGGGCAGAGCGAGCTGTGCATCTCTGCTGAGCAGGCATCACCAGGCTGTGCCCGCAGTCCTGCTCCTGCCGCTGGCAGCGGGGCTGGGCAGAACTTTCATTTCAGGCCCTTAGTTAAGGAGCCGTGTTGGCCACGTCTGCCAAAGTCCTTCTGCTGATGTGCCTTAACTCAGCCCAAGATGCTGGCGTGCGGTGAGCCCTGCACTGTGGACAGCATGTAGGCAACTGGGTGTACTGAGTCCTGGTGGTCAATTTACTCACTACCTATTAAATGCTACCTGAAAATGCCATAAACCTTTATGATCCCATAAAAAAAATGGACCTGATATTCTTGGAGACAAGAGCAACATTTCGCTCCTTGTGGTGTCATCCACCGTGTCTTTTGAGCTGAAAGTGTAATAAAAAGAGCAGGATACAAACTGCCCTCCGCAAAAGATGAATAAAACAAACCCAACAAGGCAAGGAAGGTGCCAAGCCAGCTGGGGCGAGGGATGCTCCTGCAGCTGAGGCACCGGCTGAGCACCCAGGGAAGACGTGCTGGGCTCCGTCTTTGGTCATCTACTCCCTGATTACCCATTTTGAATGGGATTTTCAAGGAAGCTCAAGAGAATTAGGTGTCTCATTGCCACTGGTGTAATAAGTGCGTAACTCAGGAGATCCCAAACTCTAATCCCTGCGTTTTAGCTCTTTTCTGCAGAATGGGAAGATTTTGTTCCCCTTCTAAGAGATGTGAAACCACAGTGTACAAATTCAGGGGCTGCAGAGATGAAGGGCTTGCTACCCTGAGCTCCTGTGGACGTGGGGGCTGCGCGTGTGGGTAATTACATGTGTACACGTCCCTGTGGTCCTGAGGGTTTGCTGATCTCTGGGCACAGCCTGGATGCGCTCCTGGCCGGGATGGGCTGAGTGGAGAGGGCAGAGTATGGGGTATGGTTTTGAGTTAATGCACTGCCACAGCCAGCCCTGCATAGAGGTAGCTCAAGCAGGACTGCACACTGGTGTCCAGTGCAGGCTAATGAGCCACTCATGAGTGCCTGAGCCCCCCTGGGTCCTGCTAACAGCTTTCCCTTCGCCCTCGCAGAAAATGTCACCCAGCTGATCCCCGAGCCGGGCAGCCTGCTGCACTCGCGGGTGCTGCAGTACCGGGAGCTGCTGGACTCCCTCCCCATGGACGCCTACACACACGGCTGCATCCTGCACCCTGAGCTCACCACCGACTCCATGATCCCAAAGTACGCGACCGCTGAGATCCGCAGTAAGTCGCCTCTCCAGCGGGGCTGCCCAGGGCCGGCGCCAGCAGGACGGCTCCCCCAGCCCTTCCTTTAGGCTCAGTTTGCCTCTGCAGCCCGGCCAGCCACCCTGCTCTTGCTCGTCTCCCCTTTCCCAGGAAGGGACAGAGCTGGGAAATGGCAAAGCACAGCTAATCTGGGAGCTGCAGGCACCCTGTAGAGGCTTCCTAGCCTTGGGGGTGTCTCCCATGGGCCATGCAGGCTTCTTGCCCAGCTCTTTCTAGTGCACATGAATTTGCTCCCTCTCCTGCAGATTCCCTCTCCTGCACATCCCCTCTCCCTCCAATAGCTCTAAGGGCAGAGGTGGGTGACTACAGCCAGAGTTGCAGATAGTGGATGAATCGGCATAAGACTGTGTACCTGACCTTCAAGTGCTCATGAAACATTGACGATGCTTAATATAACTCAACAGCAAGGATTGCTCCTGGAGAGAGTCCCTTGCCAGAGAAGTGACCTTGTTAGGAGGGCACTGGCATGCCCCATGTCTCTCCCCTCCTTTAGGCTCCGGCCCCAAGCGGCACCTGTAGCAAACACTGTTCCTCTCCCACTGTCCCTTCAGCTGCCTGGTTCACAGATGGTCCCTCTGAAATGAGATGCACTCAGCCACAAAGAGAAATAGGCTGTTCCTGAGGTGTATCTCATGATCTGCCCTGCCTCTGCTGGCACCCTGCACAGGCGGCTTTCCCCATGTCACAAAGCACCACCTCCACCCCCAGACCTCGGGCAGATGCAGGGTGCAGAGCCCATCCCCTCCCCAAAGGGTCCTGCTGCGATGGCTTCAGACCCCGTCTGCCTTGCACCACCTCCCCAGCACTCTGCTGAGGTCATTAAAAATATCTCCCTGTCCAAAGCTCCTCGATGGTGGCATTTTTCCCAAGCCATTGCAACAGAGGGGCTATGGGCAGGTCCGTGGGATGCCCCAGTGCCTGTGGTGCCCTTCCTCCCCAGCACATCCCCTATGCCCAGGCAATGGTTGGGCTGCCCCGTTGCAGTGGGTGCTGAGGCAAATCCATGCAGTTGTGACCCAAGGAGGTGGTGAACCAAGGGCCAGGTTCTCCCAAGGGGAACAGGGGAACAAAACTGGGGTGATATCCAGGCTTCCCTCTGAGTTACAGCCCCAGGAGAGCTGGCTGGGAGCCTTAGCAAGCACGAGCTTCAAGGCTCGTGGTGGAAAACAGGGAGTTTCACCATTTTGTGGCAGTGTGCAGCCTGCTGCTGGCTGCCGCCCCAGCCAGCCCTGGCACCTCCCACACCCACGCATTGGCAGAGCCAAGCCCTTGTTGGAGGGACAAGGAGGGACAGACAGATGGTCCCTGGCAGGAAGAGATTAGCCCAGCTTCGGGTAATTTATGTCGTCCCTAAGGTGTTACTCTGCATCTCGTATTCTCTTCTTCCATTTACTCTGCTCCTTTCCCTCCGTTAGCTCCCTTGCACAAAGCCCTTTGCATCCTCCCCATGCCCTGGGAGGGAGGAGGATGGGTGTCTCTCCCATGCTCACGATGGGCTCCACACTACTAAATTGCATCCCCAGACACCGAGCCGGGCAGAACAGCTTCATTCGGGAGGGAGCATTCTCCCCCCCACCCCCGTGCTGCTCTGCACGCACACCCACACGTGGGCAGCCAGCTCAGACATCCCAAAGGATTGACCTGCTGGGGATGGAGCTGCAGGAACCAGGTTATGGGGAAGCTCAGGGTTGTTCTTAAAACAGTAAGAGACGGAGATCTGCTGGCAGCTCTAATATGAATCCAGCAAAGGAAACAGAGAGCTGAACCCACCCTGAAACCCACAGAGCTGGGACTGGCCACAGACAGGGAGGGGGATCTGCTGTACCCCGCAGCCAGTGCTGCCTGCCGTGAGCGGATGGGAGGGCTGAAGAAACCACGTGCCCTCAGGAGAGCGTGCGATGCCCCAGCCACCCACCCATATGGCAGCACAGCAGCAGCAAGCCGTGAATTTGGCCCATTTAAACTCTCTGGGGCGTTTTGTTTGGTGCCACAATGCTATTTTGCATGCAGGACGAGGTGCTTTGCTACCGGACACAAGGTCATCCCGACCCCTGCCAAACACAGCCCCCCCAGCCCCTCTGTCTCCCCTCAGGACATTTAGCTAACGCCAGCACGGAGCTGATGAAGCTGGACCATGACGAGGAGCCACAGCTCTCAGAGCCCTACCTCTCCAAGCAGAAGAAACTCATGGTAAGTAGGTCAAAGCCGCACACATCTCTGGCGGTGGGGGGAACATGACCCATGGACCTTCCACGGGCACCTGGTGCCTTGTGTCCCTGCATGGTTGCAGGGGCACGTGTCCATCCGTCCATCCATCCATCCATCCCCCACCCTAATCCTGCTCTCCACCCAGGCCAAGATCCTGGAGCATGACAACGTGAACTACTTGAAGAAGATCCTTGGTGAACTGGGGATGGTGCTAGACCAGATTGAGGCCGAGCTGGAGAAGAGGAAACTGGAGTACCAAGGTAGGCGCTGGGCTGCATTTATGGGGTGTTTTTCCACACAAGACTGAGATGAAACGCCAGGAAGAGCTGATGGCTTTGCACCTGATGAACATCCCCATGGGCGACCACCGTTTTTGGGTGTACCAATGTCATTGCAGCTGTGGTCTTACTAACCTCTGGCAAACCACCCCTGCTCTGGGGAGCCCCCGCACCCCTTGCCAAAGGGGACAGCAGGACCTCTGTCCTCATAGCTGCTCTGTGGGAGCTCTAAAATCATCGCAGGGTGGTGGCAGGTCCCCTCCGCCCCAGTGAGGGGCTGCCAGTGACTGATGCCCTGGCCGGTTCAGGAAGGAGCGGGCTGGCCCCAAGCTGTTGCACCATGAGGAGCACAGGCTGACAAAAGCGCAGGGCTGGGGACATGTCCTGCAGCCAACCCCCCTGGCCGCGGGACTGCTGCACATCTCAGTGGAGCACGGGCAGGGAAACCTGATGGGAATTTGAGAGGTCCTAGAGGGGTGGGAGCCTTTACAGGACTTGCGTCAAATGCCAGCAAGTGGGAGAGAGCAACACCAGCCATCCCCGACATCAAACACATGCTGCTGGGTGCCTGCCGAGAGCCACCCCAGCGCCCTGGCAGACAGGGATGCATGGGCACAGCTGGGCATCACTTGTCCCGCCGTCACCCCAGGCTGACACCATCATCCTCCTGTCCCCGTTGCTGGCAGGGCTCGTAACCCCAGCCCCAGAATGGCTGGTGGCTGCCAGCGCTGTGGTGCCAAGTCCGGAGCAGAGCCCAGATGTGGTTAATCAGGGGACGGCCCCGCAGCTGCCCCTGCCCTTGGGGCTGGCCTCAGCCATGGGGAGCCCTGCGTCACGCTCGAGGCCACACCAAAGGGCCCTCAGAGATGCCGAGGTCGGGCCCTGCAAGGCACCGGGTTGGGGATTTGCCGAGGGCCCTGATGCACTCACAGCAGCACCCTGCGTTGCCCTAATTGCCTCCAACGAACACTCTCATTAACTAATCTGAGAGCTGGGATAGCTCAGCAGAATTCAGTCTAATGAGGTGCCCTTGGAGGACGTCCTGGGTGCCTGGAGCAGAGGGGTGGCTGCTGCTGCTGCTACTGCCAGCACCTGGGCACTCTGCTGCCTTCGGTCCTTGCGTGCTGCTCCTGCCCCCCAAAGTCCCCCCACCGTGCCCACAGCCAGGTCAGGATCTCAGCAGCGGGCACAAGCACCAGCCCTTTGGCAATTTCCCAGGAGCCGCAGTGCAGCAGCTCTCCTCCCACGCAGCCCAGGCTGCCGGCTGGAGGCGCAGCGATGCAGGCAGGGCAGGGCAGGCAGGAGGAGGGTGGGAGATGCTGCAGGAGCACAGGGCGACCCCCTGCCACAGGCACCCCATTCAGCTGGGACAGGCTGGTCCAAACTGGGGTTGCCCCATGGATGCAAAGGGGACAAGTTGCCTTTGCTTGTGCTTCTGCCCCACCTTGGTGCTGGGAAGGGGTGCAAGGGGCTGGGGCACCCCACAGCTGGGTCCAGGTCTCAGCAGCGGGTGCAAGCCCAGAGCCAAGAGGGGTAGGGCCTCTCTCCCAAAGTCACCATCCTCACACGTGCTTTCTCCTTCGCCCGCAGCAGTGCCTGGGAGCAAGGCAGCCACCTCAGCACCGTTTCCCTTACCTCTGAGCCAAAGCATCCTCAGGGTCCCCACAGAACCCCCACAATTCATTAGTCACTGAAAACATTTATTGACTAATTAGACACAGGCAATCTGTCCACTTGGGCTGTGCCTCTAGCCGGATTAGGCAGGCTGCCAAGCGGCTACAAATGAGGGCTGCTAATTACCAGTAATTCCACTGGCCTCGCTCTGCAGGCAGCCCTACAGCACCAATGCCTGCACAGGGGTGCAATAAAGGTGCCTCTTTCTCCTTCCCTGATATAGCAGCCACAGGAGAGTGGAAGAGCCCCAAAATTAAGGATTTGGTGCAAAGCCGGGGGCTCAGGCTGGATGGGGCCAGATTTTGTGCCCCTTCTGTTGTTCTTCCTCACCTACACCTCCCTTCATCCGCCTTAGCTCCATCCTAGCCCTGCTCCTTAGCATTGAAATGGCAGCAGAGGAGTGTTTAACACTATCCTGGCCTGAGCCCACCTCTTGCAGCCTAACAACAGCTTGGTTTATTCCTGGACATCTCTCTGGTGAGGTTATTTCCAGGGTCCGTCAATGCTTTAGCGTCCGTCCTCATGACCAGCATTCACACTGAGCTCCGCCTCCCCCGAAAACCTGTCCCAGCACAGATGTGCTGCCAGTTTTGGTGTCCTGGAGCAGGGTCCCTGGTGCAGGAGAGCAGACAGAGGCAGGACCTCCCCAGCAGCGCACTGGGAGAGCAGCCAGACTGGGCTAGCAAATGGTTTTGATTCCTGAGGATTTCTCGCATCCCTAAAATAGGACAAGTTAACATGACACTCCTGAAACAGCTCCCAGTACAGCCAAGGACAAACACTGCTGCTCTCCCCGAGCACTAACACAGCAGAAGGGGTCACTGCACCACACCTTCCTTCAAGGGGGGGTTAAGGGCCCTTTTCCAGGGGCCTCCGGGGTACGGGAGGATGCCATCTCCTGCTGCTCTTGACTTCAGAGAGAGGCAGCAGAGCCATTTTGCAGACAGCGATTTGTAGCTTCATGTGGGCTATAAATGATAATCTCATATTCCCAGCTTTGTGGCCCCCCATATCCTCCATCACATAGCCTGGTAGAAGGGGTCTGATTTCTTGGGATATCAGAGCGCTGAGAAAAAGCACCCCAGGTCCAATGCAAATGCTCCTGCCTTTGTCGATCTTTTGAGCAAGCCTTTAGGTGCCCACCCAAGGGTTTCCTCTTATCCTACTTACTTCTCTCTCTCCAGGGCAGAAGTGTGAACTTTGGCTCTGCGGATGCGTCTTTACTTTGGCCGATGTCTTATTAGGAGCCACCCTGCACCGCCTCAAGTTTCTGGGACTCTCTAAGAAATACTGGGAAGATGGCAGCAGACCCAACCTACAGTCCTTCTTTGACAGGATACAAAAACGCTTCGCCTTCAGGAAAGTTTTGGGAGATATACATACCACTCTCCTCTCCGCAGTGGTACCCAATGCCTTCAGGCTGGTCAAGCGGAAACCTCCCTCCTTCTTCGGAGCCTCCTTCCTGATGGGATCTCTGGGGGGAATGGGATATTTTGCTTATTGGTACTTAAAGAAAAAATACATCTAGTGCTGGCTGCTTGGTGTTTAGTTTGGTGTCTCTGTGCTGTGTGAAATTATGATGAAGCCTCAGTAACTGTAATGAAATTTGAAGCAAGGTAATGAATAATTATATTGTTTAATGTAACATTCCATAGTCTAGAAGTAGAAACGTATACTGCAAGGAAATAAGACAACAACAACAACAAAAAAAAATGCGTCAACTTGTAAATGCCTTTTTTAGGTTTAAGTATTCAACTGCAGCAAGAGGCTCAGGGGTTCACGGGCTCAGCCGTGCTCACCGGGAAGCGACACCACCTCCGGCACCGGCCGGCTCCAGTGGGAGAGGCAGGAACCCCGGGAAGTTTCCTGACGCCCAAGTTAACTAATGGGACTCGGATACTCGGTCCTGTACGTTTGTGTTTCCAAATTGTTCACTGGCCACATTTCACACATGCAGATAGCGGGGACTTTCTTCTTCTAGAAGGCGTTGTGGTGTTGTGCTCGGAGGCTTTCCTGGGAGCAGGGTGCAGTAGCTGGTCACAGTCAAGGTGGATTTGCATTCTTCAACTATCCATTTTTTAAATTATTTTCATTAAAAGGAATATTTTTTATTGAGCTGCTTTTAGAATGTATCCACTTTCTACGTCTGGTTTTGGTGGGCTTTTTTTTAAAGAATTTAATGTCTGTCTTTAACTGCCGCACTTTTTTCCTGAGAGAAATCATTTTGACTTCCATCCTGAATTTTGGCACATGAAGGAGATTATTGTTTTAAGCCTTTTGGCTCTGTCTCTTGAGTTTTCCTTCACGGATTTGCAAAGCATCTTTCACCGACTGAGCATATCTGGACTCTGAAAAAGTATGACCATTTTCAGAACTTTTCAGCACTTTCCTGAAGGCACTTTGGCTTTCTCTTCCATCAGGGGCTCTTTTCTGTCATTTCCTCGCTGTGTGTTTTCTTAGAGACACTTTGCACAGAATCACATTGATGACTTTCTTGTGCCTTTTGCATGTTGGAAAGAATAATGGGCCTCACTGCTACTCATGCTTTGAAAACTGAGATCCTCAATAAACCATATGGGAGGAGTAACGGCTTCACATTTCTAAATGTGTTCAACATCCTTCTGCAGGAAGGGCAGAGGGATGTGCAGGTGGTTTGTGCTTTTTCTTGTGTACTGCCTTGGTATAAAACTCACATGGAAACAATATGTATTCCTCTTCCAAGGCACTCATTTCTGTAAGCGCTCAGCCTGCTAGGATCTCCTCTGGCTGGTTTTCCGAGTGCTCCGGTGATCCCTAGTGAGTCACGCTGCATCTTTAGGCTCGGGAACGTATGCCAAATGTGAAAGAAGTAATACGAATTGTGTTTGCCTCCAACTCAAAAATTATCTTTATGTATTTGAAAGCAGTAGGATTTCCCAGGAGCTTTGGTTCTTGATACAACCTGGCAGCGATGGAATTGTGAATATTTAGCAGGAATTGCAAGGGATGAGCACATAGCGATTAGACAGTGCAAAATGCACAAATTCATGCCGTGCTTGTCGCAGTTGTGTAGGTTGGCCTGACATACTGCTGGAATACAACAACCCGCATAGCTATGTTATCCGTGTTCCCCCCCAGTGATTAGGGCCACACTTAAAATTGGTGTGCAAGAACCCAAATCCACCACCTGCGCATGCAAACCAGGCACGTGCAGCCAAGGCTGCCGAGTCAAATGTTACAGACACATTCTCCCAAATACAGTTAGATATTTGCTTCACGGTATCAATGACTTTGGAAGAAAGTTACTTTGCTTCTTTTTGAAGAGGGAGGCAAGAGGGTCCCCTGAGGTCATCCCTTTTGCTGAATCTGAAAGGTGTAAGAATATACACAATGACCCATGGTCTATTAGCTGATGCTAAACTCCCCACAAGAATGTACGAAGATACACTGACATGAAACCCTTAACAGGATTTCATCCTTTTACCTTTGCCCGTTCTCCTGCACGGACATTCCCTGGTGATCTCCAAAAGCTGATGAAATGCACACGCTGGGTGTAGAAAGGAAGGGTAGAAAGGGGGTACAAGGCCAGGAAACCCAGAGAGAATGAGAGCAAATACTTGCACGTTCCCAGGATTTCAGCCCAAGAATGAGGCAGAAGGAAGCTTAGCAAGACCGCTGCTGGTTACTTTGCTCCTTGCTTTGTTAAACCAAAGAATAAATTTAAAATCATGGAGCAAATCAGAACTCTAAACGCTGGAGAAAATAGGTGTCTGTTTTGTTTTGGAGCAGACTGTTAAAAATGCAACTATTATAAGGAAGCCAGACAGAGCCAGCAGCTGGAACAAGGCACGGGTCAGTTTGGACCAACACGTGAGATCTGTCCGTCATGTTGCTTCGTGGGCTGCTGGGAAGCCACAGATGCTGTAGTGATGAGTTTTGTACAGGTTTTCAGCTAGAAATATTCACTAACAAGTCTTTCCTTTGGACCAAACTAAAAAAAAAAAAAAAAGCAAAAATCACTGAAGACAGTGCCATTCCCTGTCACTGAGCCTTGTTTCCCTGCTGTGGTAATGAAAAAATACCAGGACTTTGCTCCAGGGAAAAGCAATCTGTGAGAGTGATAAAAGACAATTAGTGTTACAGGCAGAGGCTGGATTGACATTCAAGACCATGCTGAAATGAACTGGGAGATGAATGTCACCACCCCGATCGATCCAGATTAGTGAGTTACTATAAGCAGCCCTGTGGTGATTATAGGCTGTCATCAGGAAAAGTTGCTTTTGTTCTAGCTGATCCGAGCCTAATCAGACAACTTCTGCTCTCGTTCCATTTAAAAGGGGAGACCATCACACTACATGGCCATAAGCCAGGCACTGGCCCAATGTTTACTGCCCAAGGCACTTTCTGCACACAGAAACATGAAAACAATCACAAAACCTGTTTTCTCACTCCAGGACTTCAGGCTTTCCTCTCAGCAAGGTGTGGGGTAACAGCAGCACCCAAGGGGTAGGGCTGGAAGGTGAGGCACCTCAGAGATACTGTTTGGAGCAAAGTCTGCACTGGGACACTTTACAATTTGCCCCTGGGGAATGGCTTGTGCTGTATCTTGCACCAAATACTCCTGTGTGCCTGATCCAACCCCAGTTAGGGTCCTTCTTAGGCTTTACCCTACTTGTACTTATTTACCCAAGCAAATTTTTATCCTTAAAAACTCTCTGTGTTTTAGAGGCAAATGTGCTTTTAGGCACCTCTGGGCTTTAAAATCTGCACCTGTGCTGAAATGTGGAACGTTTAATTATCAGAGGAAAGAAAATCGGGGGCTGCTTTGTCAAGTCCAAGCCCTCCTGAGCACCTGAGGTGGAGCTTCATGACACTGAGCGAGCTCACAAGGAGTGGTCACTCCTTCCCCCCTCCCAAGCCTCCCATTTAATAGGCTCCCAATGGTCACATTTGTAGAACTACAGCTTCTGAAATCTTTTTACTCCTACGGGTTTTGCTCAAAAGACTCAATTACAAAAACTGAAAATGTATGTGTCAGTCTTGCAGCTGACTGGCAGCTTTCTCCTTTGCTTGTCAAGGGATGGAGAAGACCTCTCCATGCAGAATAAAGGATTTCAAAATCAAGCTTGCCAGAGGACAGGGAACACACCACAGAGCCTGTCACAAGTTGCCAAAGAAATCGAGATCAAGGGCTGCCTAAGAATACCTAGTGACCTTCTTGTGGCCCTCTCAGAAATTAATTGCCAAGTCTTCCTCTGTTTCTGAATAAAAAGCCGTCCTTATCACCCAACTGCAATTTCAGTATCCTGGCTAAGGAGGCAAGAGGGATGGTGTAAGAGCTGCTCCTTCAAGCAAGGGGAAACTTACTTTCTTCTGTGAAAATAAATGAAGGACTTCCCCACATGAGAACAGCAAACAGAAAACACTAAAGCTTGTGAAAATATTTAACATCAGGTTGCGTTTGGTGGCATTCACTGCCGTCATTAACATTAAAGCCCAAACCACCCGGACTGAATCCACAATGCAGGCAATGACAGCAACTAAATCTCTCAGGTTCCTGAGAGATATATGGGATTAAAATAATATGGGATAATATGATAATAGTATTTTGAGATGGCCAGGGATAATATAAAATATGATAATATGGGATTAAAAACTAAATAACCAAAGAACCAGGAAATAAGGTACAACCCAAGAGCTAAGTACCGTAACTCCACACCTGCAGTTTTCTGTGGCATAGCAGAGAATAAGAGGGTAATTTCACAACTGTTCATGCCATCAGCAAGGCTGCTCTTACTACACCAGTCTGTAGAAAAGCTACTTCTGCCTTGGTGGGACAGAATAAACTCCCCAGTCCATGTTCAGCAGGCTGTGCCCAGAGAAAATTTCAAACCCACAGGTATGACTGGGAATTAAAACATCTGCATAAGTATGTTGTGAACAGGGACAGATTTCACACCCCTAAAGGTTTTCCTAAAGCATGGCCTCAGTGATAAATCAGAGAGGTTTCAGACCAAACCATTTCTAATATTGAATCTAAGGTTTCAGGCAGCAGTGAAAACAGACTGGAACTTGTATTCTCAGACAAAGTGCATTCACGACAAACAAATTTCCTATTTTTTCCCCTCATGCTGATTTCCAAATGTGCCCAAACGACATATTTACTATCACTGCCTTTCACTCTCCATTTTACACACTTTCCTCTGAAGGATTAAACAGAGAGAAAATAGTCTGCTTTAAATGCCTCACAGTGAAAGAAAGAATACCATGTATGCCATAAATAATTTAGATGAACAATTGCTTTGTCAGGACACAGCTGTCTATCACTGCAGCTGCGGCAAAGGCAAGCAGAGGCTGCAGACTGCAGTAACCTGTGTGCTGCAGGCCAAGGCTCTACCTGCAGACGGCAGTTGCCATTGCCAAAGCAGATTATTTCTATTTCCACGTGACTTCGATGCTGAAGAGCATCGATGAGCAAAGTGTCAACCTCCACCCACTCTTTGGGAGCTCACAGTGTGTTTTTTGGTGTTTTTTTTTTTTTTTTTCCCCCCCCCCCCCCCGTTTTGTCTTTCTCCTCTGCACAATGATCTACTTTCAGCTCTTTTTTTCTTTACCACTCTCACCGTCCTACCCCTTTCTTCTCTCCTGGACTCCCCTGATTTCACTCTCCTGACGCAGACAGCTGGGGATGTGTGACCATTTTCATAGAGACATTTCTGTTGTCAGGAGCCCACAGGTTGTGAAGCTCTGCATCAGTGGACACAGCACCTCCAATTTCCACCTTCTGAGAAAGAACAGCTAAGAAATGAAGGAGATACACCCTTGCTAAAAACCTCTTTAACTAACAGCATATACCAATGACAACTTTGAAAGCCTTTCTTTAAAAATAACACCCTCCATCCCCCTCCTTTCATTGCCTCCTGTCTCAGCCCTTTCCTACCAGCACATCATCTCTCCCGCGACCTAAATCCTTTTTAGCTCCAAGAGAGTTATCCAAATAAAGCTACTTTGCAATCAGAACAGAGTGTAACCAAGTCTGAGGGTGCTTTATAATGCTGCAGGCACTTCTTCACATAGAACGAAGTAGTCTGCATAGTTAAGTGCTGTTTCGCACATGCTCTTTACATCACAAGGTCATGTCACTCCACTGCAAGCCTCCTGGAACACTTCTATTTTTGCCTACCAAAAGCAATTTCCTTCTATTCCATGCCCTTGGAGGCAACCACTACAGAACAGCAATAGGGAGGATTCTTGGCCACAAGCAAAAAAAAACCAATGCAAAAACCAAAACAAAAAAAAATTCCCCAGAAAATGAAATAAAACAAAAAAAACCCACCCTGGCATAATTTTTTCTCTTAACTTCCAAATGATGACAATCAACAGGAAAAAAGTATTCTTAAAAAACTTAAACCTGTAATACTCCCATTCTTCTAAAAACCAAATCAGTCAGGTCAGGCTATGGCAAAGCTAGAGCAACAGTGCACAGTGCTGGGAAGAGTTGTGGTCTAGAGTGTCACAATACCAAGCACATATTAAATCCATGCTCACTTCCATCATCTGCAAAACACAGAGGCAGACCCTGAGTGCCATTCCAAATCAGCACAATCC